TTTTTTTTTTTTTTTTTTAATCGGGGATGTTGTGGTGTTTACTTTTTTGGAGTTTGAACTGCTCCAAAAGTGTTTTCCCAGTGCTGTCTCCATGTAACTTTGATCATGGATGCTTGACTTGGAATACAAAATGAATGTTTCTCAGTGATGCCAAACCCCCTAGATGTTAGGCCAAGCCTCAGGTCTATGAAGCCCTGATCTGTGGCATCCTTTATTGGCAAAGAGCGTCTGGAATTTGACAAAAAGTAGGAAGACAAGAGGAGAAGTTGGAAGTTCCATCTGTGTTACAGACTGTTCTAAGCCTTGTATTCCTGCTGTCTTCGGTCAGACAAGCAACTTTATGGTTTTTCTTTTCTTTTCTTTTTTCTTTTTTCTTTTCTTTTCTTTTCATTTTCTCTTCCTTTTCTTTTGAAAACAACAACACAATTCTCATGTGTTTCTTTTGGACTATATAGTGGTGGTGCAAAATTCAGTCCCTGTGGACACAAACTTGCCTTATTTAAACAGAAATACTACAAATGCCTACTCTCGTCTTCCTTAATTATTGGCATTTTAAAATGAAAAAAACCTCCTCATATATCCTCACCATGCTCATGAAAATTGATTTTATTCTGATTGACTTCATACAGTTATTTACTACTGTCTCCTGGCTATGCCGTAAGTGTCTGAATTGAGTTCTCAGCATTTGTAGTTAGCTACCTGCTTCCCAGTCCCTCTCGTTTGTGTGGGGTATTGATGAGTGCATAGGGGGGAGTGCGATACATCTTGAGGGCAAGGAAGAACTTGGTGGTGCCCCTGGAGATGCCTCCCACACCAAGCGTTTGCAGAGGGTGGGATCACTTGCTTCCGTCAGTCTGTTCCGTGTGCATGCATTGTGATGAGCTGGCCAGTATGCATCTGAACGCGTGCCTGAGAAACCGGTGACTTGTGGGCAAAAAGAAAATGTTAAAAATAAGGTCAGACAAGGGAATGGAAGGGAGATTGGAAGGTAACTTCTTTTGGTTCTGGTTCTTTAAAGAAAGAATACCCAGTTATAGCTTTTCTCCTTATCCAGATTACCTGTGACAAAAATCATACACGCAAAGAGAACTTTAAAATTTCCAAGGCATATTCCATATATATGATCTTCCTTGCTACTTGCTATAGCCCTGAGGGAAGGACGTGGCAGGCATATTAATAGTGGAAGGAGCTTAGGTTTTGTGGCCAAATTCGAATTTCAGTTCTAATACCTGTGTAGCTAGGTAATACTGAGCAATTTATTTCACCACTTAGAGCTTTCATTTTATCCAATTCTAAAATGGAAAAGAAAATGCTTACCCCAAGGATTTGCGTGAGGGTAAAATTAAGTGGAATAATGTGAAGTAGATGTAGTGAGTAGGTGCTCATTAAACAATATCTCTTCTTAGCTGGTCTCAATTTTACTGAGAAAGAGACTGAATGAGACTCAGAGAGTTGAGAGGTTTCTAGAGTCACATGGTTCTTAAGTTTCAGCCCTGGATACACAGTTCACACCTGGTGACTTCTAGTTAAGGGCTTTTCCCGTCACACTCTGTCACATCTTCAATGAGCTCCTTAACAATTTACTTCAGTTAAGTTGGCCTTACTTGGCTGGTGATTGCAGGGTATCCTTTCTGTCCCAAAGAGGAAATTTCCTTGCTGAGGGAACAATTCGTCAACATGCTCTGTAGAGTTTCGGGGGGCCAGCTCTCAGGAGAGGAAGTTTGAAAGCCCCGATCTCTAAGGCAACCTGCCTACTCTCCTGTGTTTGATGTAATGTACTTTCCAGTCCTAGGAGGAAGAGTACTGTGAAGACATGTCACGTTTTTTTCTTCCTGTTCTCAATGGTTTCCTCCCTCTGTCATCCTTGTGCTAATTCACAGGGTAGTAAGAAGATTGAAGAACAAATGTCACGAGTGGCCATAGCATTCTTCACTTCTTTCACCAATTCTGTGGGTCCAGGATGGAATAGGGAACAGCATGCACAGGCGGCATTTGCAGAAAAGACCACTCACTGCTGCTGGCGGGTGCTGATCACTGGTCTGGAGCCTCAGTCCTCCCTGTGGAAACTGATGGCTGCAGGCTTATGTAGGAAAATGAACAGATCTGTTTCTGGCCCAGGCAATGGGGCCATTTATCCGTTGAGACTCCCCACAGGCCATCAGGTTTCTCTGCTCTGCAGCAAGCAGACAGGCTTGCAAATGCAGTTCTGGGAGAAATGTTTTGCTCCTTGCTTTTGGCATTTGGAAGCATATGTTTGCATTTGCCAAAAGGTGCCCAGTTAGCGTCATCTTACCTGGCACTGTTAGAAAAGCAGAATGTAGCTGGAGGAAATCAGAGGAGGAGGCAGAAGAAAAAGAATAAAATAAAGGTTATCTCCAGCATACACACAGTTTCATTTGTTGCTCAACTTTGTCAGGCTTCTGCTAGTGACACAGATGTAGGACCTGGTGAGTCATTGTCGCCTTGCCCGTGAAATATTAAAGAGAGCCACCTACTGTGCTCTTTGCCCATTTTGGAAATTGTTCTGTGGGAGAAATAAAAGCCCCAATGAACTGGCAAGTTACAGAACATTTGGCATCTGATATTTTGGAGGATTAATTTGGGTTAGCTACTCATTTGCTCAAAACTGAGCAAATTTGGTTGTTTTTCTTTTCTTTTTTAAAAAGTGAGGATGTAATGATGGGGTTGTCACACGGATGGGGTTGTCGCACTGATGGGGATACCTCCTTGTAGCCTGACTTTATATTCTGCCTAGCTCAGGCAGTTGGAGCCGTGTGGAGTGGTGCAGCCTGACAGGTGCAGGGGGCAAGGTAGAGTGTTGACATGAACCTCCATCTCTTCAGTTGGGAAACAGGGACACTGATGCCTGCCCAGAAGCTGGAGTCTCTCTCTCTCAGCACCTCAGTCACAGGAGGCATTTAATAAACACGGATTCATTCTTCTGCCATACATTCCTTCGATGTATTCGTCTGTTAAAATGTGAAAATCAAGGGGCACCTGGGTGGCTCAGTCAGTTAAGCGTCCGACTTCAGCTCAGGTCATGATCTTGCGGTTTGTGAGTTTGAGCCCTGCGTGGGGCTCTGCACTGACACCTTGGAGTTTGGAGCCTGCTTCGGATTCTGTGTCTCCCTCTCTCACTCTTCCCCTCCCCTGCTCGTTCTTTCTCTCTATCTCTCTCAAAAATAAACATTAAAAACATTAAAAATCGGGTGCCTGGGTGGCTCAGTCAGTTAAGCGTCGGACTTCAGCTCAGGACATGATCTCATGGTTTGTGGGTTCGAGCCCCTCATTGGGCTCTGTGCTGACAGTGCAGAGCCTGGAGCCCATTTCTGATTCTGTGTTTCCTTCCCCCCCCCACCGTGCCTCCCCCACTCATGCTCTATTTTGTCTCTCTCAAAAATAAATAAACATTAAAAAATTTAAAAAAAATTTTTAAACGTGAATATCAAAATTTAATAACTACTCTTTACTGAACTCCATCATGGATTGTACTGAGTGCCTTACAGACATCACCTCATTCAATTCTTGCAATGATCCTGGGTATTTTTGGAGGCAACTAAGGCTCAGAGAGGTTAAGTGGGTAAGAAAGACCTGAAATTGTGTGGCCTCTGGATAAGAACTGAGAGCCTGGGCTAGGACTGCTTACCCACCTGTCCCCATCCTGCCATTCTGATCCTGGTATTACCTTGGCTGTGACTGAGAAGTCTCTAGCTCTGAGCCTCAAATGTGAGCGAGCTGTACAGGATGATCCCTAAGTTCCTTCTGCAATATGTTGTT